TAGACCATTCGCTAAGGTACCGGATAGTTCTAGAAAGTAGAGGGCGTGAGAATAGTCACGTGATCTCGATGACGCAACAGTACTATTAATATTACTTAGTATCAATCATTTGTTCAGGTAGGCTTAGAAATAGCACATTTTATAAATAGTACAGAGAAATAGGCCGTTTATATTACATGAAATAGTACTTACGAAATATATATATTTGATCAAAAGTGAAAAGAAAAATTAGCAAAAATGGACAATGAACCGACACTGAAAGATACGATGGGATGAAATTTACACGTGGGATGGTACTTGGCAGAGCTGCGAAACTGTATTCCCCGGATGAGATTTAGCGGCACAGCGGTAATTAAAATATGGTGGAAGAATTAGGGAAACACATAACAATAAATAAATAAACTAAACTAGATGAATCATAAATATATATAAAATAGCAGTCAACTGTTAGTATTATCATATAAGAACTTATAAGTGGAAGTACGTCAACCACACTATACCAGCAATATCCTATGCCGACAAGGCCTTTTGTTACATACCAGGATTCATCAGCCGGTTGGAATACGACAGACATATTATAGAAGTACATGTCAAAACCACACATGGGTTGTTCGGAAATTAGGCAATCTCCATTCGTATCTCATGGGTACAAGATATTAAATTGCAATGAGAAGTAAAAAATAAAATAAATAAATAAAGGTAGAAGCAAAGTAAAATAAATTTTAAAAATAAAATGAAATTTCGTATACAAATATCTACATATATTTGCATGTTTGTTTGGTTGTTGTTATGCACAAAGCTACGAAATGGGCTGTCTGTGCTCTGCTCATCACAGGTATCGAAACCTGATTTTTGGCGTCGTAAACCTGCAGACTTATTGTTGGGGGTATTTGTTTGCATAAATGTTTCAGATGTCACGCAAAATATGGGATAACTAACTAAAACATGTATGAATGGCAAAAGAAGCGAGTCTACAATGATCTTCGGTCAAAAAGCAAGTCTACCTCAACAGCCAAACAAAAACAAACAAAAGAATGGCGGAGAATTGCAAAGATTTTGATGTGTGTGTGAAGTGAGTATCCTGAGCCGACAAAAACACGATTTCATTGGATAGACGCCGAAGAAAGGAACAACACCACCTGTATCGGAACATAAGCTGAAACCTGAAATAATAATAAAATGTATGCTGTAAAGAAAATTTAGATCTAAAAAGGGGAATTTGGAAAGAGAAATAGCATAAAAGTATAATGAAACCAAGATGTTAAACTTGCATTTGAATGGAAATTGAAAAACATGTACAGTGGAGATCCAACTTCGAAATGTCAATATTTTAAGTGATTAGATGCTAATTGTTTATTATTATGATGTAAGGAGATATATACTTTGTCATGACTAAATAGTGCCTGTTATGGAAGGAAGTTATGTAGAAAGGGGTATCTGTCCTGAGCTTTAAACAACAACAATAACTGGATACTAGTTTCATGTGTCTTTTCTTAACTTAGGTCAGTGATTCCCAACCTTTTCACCACCAAGGACCCCTTTTATTTTATTTTTTCTCCACAGACCCCATGTTTTCGAAAGATTCCGTCTACCCAACAAGCTGTTTTTATTAACTAATAATTAACTAGTTTTCCCATTTTTCACTGTCAAATAAAAGACATATATAACTGAGTGTGCAATTAAAAGAACAGCAGTATTAAAAAAATTACTTGTTTAATGAGCTGGTTAATGTTTCTTTATTGATACTATGTTCCACACTTTTTCCCACGAGGAGCTTAGCTGAATTTTTAACGGCTTTTCTCACATAATTAGAGAGCCAGAAAAATTGTGACAGTTATAGAACAGTCTCAGCTTTTTACGTTGTTATTATTCTGTATCTTTCCGTGCATTATTTAATTAAAGAAAGTAGCTTACAAACCCCCAGTATTATCTTCGCCGAACCCCAGGTTGGGAACCACTAACTTAGGTGATAGTAGAGAATGTATCCGCATAGCATGGAGGGGGGTGTAGGTTGGAAAGTGAAACGCTCTGCGTAGTGTGCGGTTTACAGTATTTGCAATTTAAAGAATGTATTATCCGATATGTTGCACGTTATCACAGATTCGTATTTATTAATGGTATAATGAAAATTTTCAAGTAAGTAATAGCGAACATGGTGTCCTATCTTACGTAGATGGTAAATCTTATCGCACGTTTTAGCTAGTATATCGCTGAAAAAAGATTTCCAAGTTAACTCGATGCTGATAAACTTGATTGAAGTTGATGTGTGTTTGTGTGTCGTAGAGTTTTAAATCTGACTATTTTTAGTCGCGGGAATTTCTTATTTAAACTTCTGTGGAATATAATTGCTTGGGTTTTTTGACAGATTAAGAACAATGCGCTACTTATTACATCATATATTAGTTTGAATAAAAGAAGTCAGGACTATATAAGCAACGGGTGAGGTGATCGGGAGATGTGCTCCAAACAGCTATGTCATCAACACATTGCAATGCATGAGTTAATGGTTAGAGGGGGCAAGAAATGCAATTAAAGCATGTGTTTGTTTGGAATTAAGTACAAAGCTACACAATGAACTATCTGTGCTCTGCCCACCTCGAGTATCGAAACCCGGTTTCTAGCGTTGTAAGTCCGCAGACATACCGCTGTACCACTGGGGAGCTAAAGCATGTGATAAGTCAGACACAGTAGTGACTGAAACGCTATTTATATTATAAATATCCCTTAGTACTCTAGATTCGACACTGGGGCTTTGAAAATGCGTCACGAGTCCGCCACCACAGAGCTGTTAATTCTCCCTTTGAGTCGCGCTTTTCTGCATTTATTATAGAGTGATGTGTCCAGAGGCGTCGTTAGGTAATTAAAAGATTCGGGGCTCAGGATCATTTTCGGTGTTTCAGTATGATATCGATCATGGTTTTTCTATTCTGATTTTTCAAGACATCAACTGGGGTATCCGGGCACGAGTCCCGCGTGCCAGTGGCTGCCGACATTTCTAGATGTACTCGTTTTGGTTTGAGTGTTGTTAAACATAAAGCTACACAATGGGTTGTCTGTGTTTGGTTCACCACGGGTATCGAAACTCAATTTGTAGCGTCGTAAACCTGCAGACTTACCAATGAGCCGCTGAAGGGCGACGTGTCTGTTTACAAAAATAATCTTAGGTTGTTTCCTACACTGAACGCCTTGATTGACCAAATAATATGATCTTCTCTTCCATTTTGAGTAATCTAATTTCTGTTTTATTTTCTAATTTACAGTAAATTTTATCATTATTTTGGAAAGTAATTATATTATTCACAAATGCAAACGAGGTGGAGTAAGCCTTCAATTACAGCATTTATTAATGAGTTGGCACTTTACATGAACTATTTAAAAATCATCAGATGAAGAAAAGATAAGGAATCTCACGAAATAATGTTGTTGTTTTTTTATTTAATAGGTACTATAATATACCTTCTGTTTTTACCTAATGCTGTAATTAAAATGTAAGGTTTGTCATTATACACGAGTTCTTTAAATTTTACTTGGAGAATCAGTTGACAAAGACAAGTCACGAGGTACAGTGTTCCCTCCTTCTTTGATACGTTTTCTTAACCTAACCTATCATTGGGCAGCAGCAGCAAGAATTAAGATTTGAAGACCTGCCCAACAGAGAAAAAGAAAACGAAGAAGCAACATTTTTCTTTTGAATAGGTTCAAAACAAGTTAGGCTTGTATTTTATTTATCATTTTATAAACTAGATAGACTATTAATAAATAGTATGTTATTGTAATTTAAACTGTTTCAGAGATATTACAATGTCATTCGATGTGGAAGAGAAAATTCTCATTTCTTCCCTCTAGAAATGTAACCCTAAAATCTTTAACTTTCTTTTGTTTTGTATTTCATTTTTTATTTTATTTCTTAATTGTTATTATTATTTGTATTATTATAATGAAAACGTTGAAAAAAGCCTTTCAGACTGTCGGGGGTACTTTAACTTAATGTTTCTGTTCTACCCTTAATTTGTACTCCATATCAATTTTAGTTTGTTCTAAAGTTATTTGCTCCCTTTAGCCAACGAATGTATTATGGTAAATATTGTTTACTACTTTGTAGCAATATTTTGTATAACTTGTTTCACTTTATGTACAAAATGGAGCCCATTGTATTTTGATAAGCCTGCTTGGAAATATTGGAAGTCGCCTTGGGAAAGGCGTCAGCCA